CAACCCAAACGATTCTATGATAATATGTTAACAGTTGGATTAAGTTCTGGTTTTTTATAAATACTTAAAGGGATGCTGATTTTCCTTATATTTAAGGAAACACTGTCACAAAACAGTTACCTTAAGTCCAAGAAGAGTTGTGCTGTCATCTGGATGCCTGGGAGTAAGGTGCTGTGGGGCATAAACAGCTTTATGAAATGGGAAGTGCTTTCACATTTGTAAAATGGAGGTGACTTAATTCTTGGGTAAGAAAAACGCAGTAAAATATGTGGATGTTGAGTGACATAGGAGAAGAGGAGGGAAGAAAGGGGTAAAATAACTAAATTAATATGTAAAGAAATTACTTTTTTGGTCTGCTGATCAGTTTCTTAATAATATGTATTTAAATAGGTGGTTGAATCCCTTATTTATTATTGGCCATAAACGGAAGCTTGAAGAAGATGATATGTATAAAGTGCTGCCAGAAGATTCCTCAGAGAAGCTTGGAGAGGAATTGCAGTGGTAAGGAGAAAAGCCATTGTTCTCTTTCATTGTATTTCTGCTGGTGGAAGTGAGAGTCTTACTCCTATTCTAAAATTAAATGAGGTGGTTGTAAAGTTAACAAGGTCTACTGCTAAAAATGCTGAAGAACTAAGAGTAATATTTAGAACTTATTTACCATGGAAGCATTTTAATTTTTTCAAGTTCTGCATAATGAATCATAGAATCATAGAATGGTTAGGGTTGGAAGGGACCTTAAAGATTATCTAGTTCCAACCCCCCTGCCATGGGCAGGGACACCTTGCACTAGACCAGGTTGCTCAAAGCCACATCCAGCCTGGCCTTGAACACTTCCAGGGATGGGGCATCCACAGCTTCTCTGGGCAACCTGTTCCAGTGCCTCACCACCCTCTCTGTGAAGAATTTCTTCCTGACATCTAATCTAAACCTCCTAAATGAAAATGCATTAGAGTATTTCCATTATGTTATTTATAATTAATTTGACACTTCGCAGGATGCTTGGGAAAGACGACTCTTCATCAACTGTTACTGCAGTAATTCTTAAGAAATTAATGAGAGTCTTCTGGCCTGTGGTAGAACAGCTGTGGACACTTCAAAAATTTCTCTGTGTAGAAGTGGGGAAGAAGTTTTAGGTTTTTCTTTGTGGTTTTCGGTTGTGAGCACAAACTGAATTGACAGCTGTGTACCCTTTATATATTGGGTTTGTTCAGCCTGGATAAGAGAAGGCTCCGGGGAGACCTTATAGCACCTTCCAGTACCTGAAGGGGCTACAAGGAAGCTGGGGGGGACTTTTGACAAGGGCCTGTAGTGACAGGACAAGGGGGAATGGGTTTAAATTGAAAGTGGGGAGGTTTAGATTGGATATCAGGAAGAAGTTCTTCCTGGAGAGGGTGGTGAGGCACTGGAACAGACTGCCCAGAGCAGCTGTGGATGCCCCCTCTCTGGAAGTGTTGAAGGCCAGGCTGGATGAGGCTTTGAGCAACCTGGTCTAGTGGAAGGTGTCCCTGCCCATGGCAGGGGGGTTGGAACTGGATGGTCTTCAAGGTCCGTTCCAACCCAAACCATTCTTTGACTCTGTGATACATGTGTGTATATAAAAATATGTGTGTTGAAAATATGCCACTCTGATAAAGTAGATGAAATGCCCTGGACATCTAAAAGCTTCTATCTAGGAGGTGTTTTTATTTTGTTATAAATGCTCTTTCATGCACTGTGTAGCAATTCACGTTGTCATGGACCCAGAAGGATCTAACTTTAATACTGAAATATCTTCCAAGAATAACAGTTTATGTAAATTGACCTGACCCTTGCAATAGAGAAGGTTTTTGTTGTCAAATAACATTTTGTTATGTTTAATTAGAGGAAGAGGTGACTCTTAGTGAAAGGTGGCCCCTGTATTAAGTAAGTGTGGCCTTGCTGTTTCTTGTCCTTATGCTGAAGGTAAAGCTAATCAGCTTTCCTAATAGCTTGGTTGGGATGAGAGACTCCTCAAGAAGTAAAAAGAATACAGAAACAAAAGGTTATGACCAGGCCTTACTTCTCCCTGCTCTGGTGAATTAACTGAAGAAAGAGGGTCAGTGCTAAGCTCATAGGAGTACAGCTTTTTGCATCTTCGTAGCTGGAGAGCTTTTATGCTGAAGGTAAAGCTAATCAGCTTTCCTAATAGCTTGGTTGGGATGAGAGACTCCTCAAGAAGTAAAAAGAATACAGAAACAAAAGGTTATGACCAGGCCTTACTTCTCCCTGCTCTGGTGAATTAACTGAAGAAAGAGGGTCAGTGCTAAGCTCATAGGAGTACAGCTTTTTGCATCTTCGTAGCTGGAGAGCTTTGCCAAATCCCATGGCTGTGTCTTGAAAGCGGTTCCGGGAGGTTGCTTTTGCGGGAGTGGTTCAGGGAGTTTGCTTTGGAGGAAGATGGATTCTTTCCAATGATTCTTACAGTAAAAGCACACGCTTTCCATGAGTCAGGAATCGGTAGAAAATACAGCATTCAAAAAAAAAAAAAGTGTTTTTTTAATTCTTTAGTGTACTTGGCCAAGATGCAGAGAATATAACTTATAAATAGCCACCTAAGGAAGCAGCCTTTTGTCTTGGGCCAGCAAACCCCACGGTATCTACAGTTTCAATTTGATTTTGAAGCATTTAGATAGTAAATGTATAATATTTGTAACAAAATAAGAGGGTAAAAATAATTTAAAAACTCCAGATTTTCTTATCTGAACTGAATGCTTCAAACTTGTGCGCTGTGTTGCAAAATAATTTGGCTGTCATGCCTTAGACTTGTTTCAGCCCCCAAACTAGCAAGGTCATAGGGTCTGGGAGAAAATATTTACCCTCCAGAACCAAAGGGGGAGTATCCTGTCTGACAAGAGCGTGCTTTAAGAAGTCTGCTTCCCTTTTGATACTTTCTTCTTAAAATCATGGTTGTTATTACTGTCTTTGATTTTAATGTGAACAGATTGTGTCCTACTTGTGGGCAGACATGTGGTAATGCAAAGGTCTTGGCCACTGCTGCTGCTATAATCCTTGCCATTCCACTGCTGCTATAATCCTTGCCTTCAGAGAGACCTGTGGAGTGTTGTTAAGTGACAAAACTGCTGCGGACAGTTCCCTCTGCTCTTGTGCCATATCTGCTCATCGAAGCACGTGGTGGAAAAGAGAAAGGGCCAGGAATGAGAAAGGGTTTGTGCATCACAACCTTTCTGGGGAAGTGCAGAGCTTATAAGAAGGTGAAGACACTCCATGCTGCCTCAGTTTAGTCCATACTCAGGAGATCATATGATAATAGGTTCTTAACTAAGGTGAGTGGCTGTCTGAACTGAGAGAAGACAGAAAGACAGGAAGAGGGAGTTCCTGATCTGCAAAAATGTCAAAGGCAATGGTACCCAATAGTGGTGAATTCTTTGTGATTGTACTAGAGCTAATTGGCCTATAGTTCTAAGTGTTACGTATTTATGTGAATGACAGAACATGACCATCTTCTCTTATATATTTATATAAGCTTCTTTTATATTTCTTCTGGCTGTCTAAAAGTGATCATGGCAATACTGGCTATAAGTTTGAAAGTATTTTATTTCAGGGAATTGCCTTGTGATTTTACTTCTGTCCTCCAGCATGTTTGCATTTTGTTTGTCAGGTACTGGGATAAAGAGGTGCAAAAAGCAAAAAAGAGAGGAAAAACACCACATTTAACAAAAGCCATTATTCTTTGTTACTGGAAATCCTATTTAGTGTTTGGAATTTTCACAATGATTGAGGTAAGTGGTGTAAAATATCATACAACACACTTCTTAGCTAACAGTAATGTGAAACTTGGCCTTTTAGGTTGCATGATACATACTGGTGACTTCATGTTGGGCTCTTGAGAGAATCTGTAATGTTCAAGTACTCTCAGAAAAGTAAAAGAGAGCTACAGCCCCGCAGAGACTTAAAAATTGAGTCATAACTGCAGCATTATGGATGTGGAACAGACAGCTGATTTCAGTGCAGTGTTTTTGAGACATTGCAAGCCACTGGCTTGCTTTGTAAGGCTTAGCTGTATTTTAATTGTCCGAGTGGGGTGCCCCGTAGAAAAAGGGGTTTTTGCTATATGTAAATGGCTGTAAAATACACGCTGTTGTCTTTAAAAACATAAGTGTAATACATAGTCATGCAATTTTTATAACATCCAAGTTTTTATTGGTAATTGAGAGAGGATTTTTAAAAGATTGAGCTAAATTGTAATGTGGAACATATTTTGGATTATGTGTTGATAAAAATCGGCTTGACATTTTAGAGCACAGTAAAGACACAATAATAGGGGATGTGATTTGCGGCAGTACTCGGTTCTTGTTTGCCCAGTTACAAACTTGGGTAGGATGGTACGATACAAAATTGTTAATACTTTCCTCCCTTCTTTTTCTTTCAGGAAACCCTCAAAATAATCCAGCCAATATTTTTGGGGAAAATTATTAATTATTTTGAAAACTATGATTCCTCAGATGAGGTAGCTTTGAGTTTCGCATATTGCTACGCAGCTGCTCTGTCTGTGTGCACGCTTATTCTAGCTATAATGCACCACTTATACTTCTATCATGTACAGCGGGCTGGCATGAAGCTGAGGGTAGCTATGTGTCATATGATTTATCGGAAGGTAAGCAAACCTGTTCACGGGGATATTTGGCATTTGGCTGCTGTTTCATTCGGGGAGTTTGATACAGTTATTTATGTTCATGCTTGCAATTCCATTGAAGTTACTCATTTGTAGAAATGTAATGCATGCTAGTATGTGTCAGACCTTAAATGTATACATGTGCTTTTGCTTTCTCTTCGGTCATACAGTGTCTGAATGACAAGCTTCAGTCCTCCTAGAGAAGGGGTGAGTTAAATAGCCCTAAAGCCTAGGAGGAGCCGATGATGTTATGCGTGCTCATGCTGTCAGAGAGGAAACAACCCTCCCCATTAATGGTAGAAGCTGTGTGCTGAGCAGGAAGAGGTCGTCGGCACACAGCAGGAGAGGGGCAGAACTCCCAGGGAATGCTGGCTGTTACTCAGCTGTGCAGTTTTATCACAGGGGAGGACGTGATGCTTGGCTATCACCATCTGCTTCAGCACTCTCAGTTGACTGGGAACTGCTTCACTGTCCAGTTTTCCTCCCGGCCCCTGTTGTGGTTAGTGGTGGGACTTAATTCTGGTTTATTCCATCAGTGCTGTGGAACTAGTGAGCTGCCTCCTTTGCAGGTCAGAGAGGCTGCCCCACTCTCCAGTCATCCATCGGTGTAGTTCAGGGAGAGACACCAACCCTCTAGGTTGGCGTCTTCACAGGCAGGTCCCCTTACTGTCTTTCATACGTGGTGGGGTGGGGAAAGAGATGTGGGCAGAGGAGACACTGTTCAGAATCAAGCTGAGTCCTAAAGGTGGGGTAGAGCTGGGTTTTGGTCTTAATTACTGTTTTTACTTGGGAGCATTGGAGTGTGAGAAGGGAAGTATATCCAGTAAACTGGGGTTTCTCTGCTGTCTGTCTGTCATGACCAAGAAATAGCTGTCCTTGGCTACAGATGGAGCTGAGGCTGCTGTCAGACGGGAAGTGGAACAAGAGAAGTTATGGATATTACCTAGAGGAAGGAGTTGAGTGACATCCAGGATGAAATGCTGGCCTTGGTGTGCTCTGGGGAGGAAGCAACCCAATTGTAAATGTCTGCTTCTCTCTTCTGAAGCTGCTGGCAATACCCAAATCATTGAACCCATCTCCGCTTCTAAGCAGGAAGTCCCTGCTGGGAATGCCGGAAAGGAAACTGCCCTATGTTTCTAGCTTTAGTGCTGCTGGAATAGTGACCTGCCAGTTCTTACCTTAAGAAAGAAATTTAATGGAAGGATCTAAAATTTCTTTAGAATGTAAATAAATCCATGTTACTTTAACTGTTAAACATAGGTACCATTCATTTAAGGCAAACACTTACTACTGGTATAGGTCACACAAAGGTTTTGGGCAGAGCAGTAAAGCGAGAATAAAAATGTCCCCATTCTAAGTAATGATTGCTTTTCATGCACACAGTTATTCTCCTCCCTCTTCTGATACCTTGGAAATTATCCTCTGGGAACTTGGCTCTAACATGGCACACTGCTTTCTTGTACATAAACATCTCTCTGGGGTATTAATTTACTAAACTGATTATCATAACAGTTTGAAATTGATGAAATATGTATATCACCATGTTGTTTGTTGCTGTGTTGATATCAGCTTAGAAGTTTAGAAATGTTCATAATGTGCACCCTTATTTCTAGAGATATGATTAAATGGAAAATTAATCTCGCCTCATCTCATAAATGTTTACTTCTGAGGGTGAAAGGCTGAGGTCACAGCACAACATTGATAAACCTTTCTAATAATTTGTCTTCACTATCTGAGGCTTATAGATTTGTCTACTTTCACTTTATCCTCATACAGGCTTTTGGAAGAATCTGGATGCTAATTTACCAACACTTTTGTGGTATTTAGTAATTGCTGTAGTAAATAAAAAACTTGGATTTGCAAGGATGAAGGGGTTGGACGAGAAAGCATCCTTAACGGAGAAGTTCAAATGCTCGTAATTCTTAAGTTTTAGAAGCATTTCCATTTCCTGAAAAGTTAAAATCTCATTTGCAAAACCCTTGTATTCAAACTGCAAGATGTTTTGTGATCAGTAAGAAGTATTAATGGTGTGTGCAGGAAGCTGGTAACAAAAATGAAAATGGAATCTGTCTCATGACTCACAATCTCATGTTTTAAACCCAAAAGCTACTTATGGGAGACTGATTACTTTTTACTTTTTTTTTTTTAAGACTTAACTTTTTGAAGTTCTTTGAGGTTCCGAATAAACACCAAAGCAGTTTAAGCTGTGGAGTAGTTGGTTGAGACAACAAGCAGCCAGAAAGGTGTCATGAGTTATTTGTCTGGACAGTTATATTATTCCTTTCTGTGGTCAGTTCTCACTTTTTAATGTGCTTTTGAATTAACTGTTTGGGGCAGGGAGAGATGAAAACGCTTAAGATGGGGCTACAGAAGACAGAGAATGGTTAAAGAATTGAAATTGGGCCTGTGCAATTACATCGGGGTGGAGGGGAGGAAAAGTTTAACCTAAGACGTCAAGTGTACAAACTGCTCTCATTAGTTCATATAATTAAAACCTATATTCCTTGAGAAAGAGTGCTTGCTGGTACATACATCTGTACAAAAGGTTTATAGACAGAAAATCAAGTAGGTCTTTTCTGAAAACAGTTGACAAATGTAAAATAAGATGTAAATTCAAACTGCAGTTGCTTTTTAAAAAGGCGTGTGGTTCTAAGTAATCATAGAGTCAAAGAATGGTTTGGGTTGGAAGGGACCATAAAGATCATCCAGTTCCAACCCCCCTGCCATGGGCAGGGACACCTTCCACTAGACCAGGTTGCCCAAAGCCTCATCCAGCCTGGCCTTGAACACTTCCAGGGCATCCACAGCTTCTCTGGGCAACCTGTTCCTGTGCCTCACCACCCTCACTGGGAAGAACTTCTTCGTGATATCCAATCTAAATCTCCCCACTTTCAATTTAACCCCATTACCCCTTGTCCTGTCCCTACAGGCCCTTGTCAAAAGTCCCCCCCAGCTTCCTTGTAGCCCCTTCAGGTACTGGAAGGTGCTATAAGGTCTCCCCGGAGCCTTCTCTTCTCCAGGCTGAACAAGCCCAACTCTCTCAGCCTGTCCCCATAGCAGAGGGGCTCCAGCCCTCTGAGCATCTTCATGGCCTCCTCTGGACTCGCTCCAAGTGGTCAATATCCTTCTGATATTGAGGGCTCCACAGCTGGACGCAGCACTGCAGGTGGGGTCTCACCAGAGCAGAGTACAGGGGCAGAATCACCTCCCTCGACCTGCTGGCCACGCTTCTCCTGATAATCTTCAGTAGTATTTCTTATATTTGGATTGGATTTATAAATATTATGGTCAAAGTGGTATTTAAAACCACAGTGTACTGACTTTGGCTGGGATAGAGTTAATTTTCTTCGTAACAGCTCCTAAGGTGCTGTGTTTTGGATGTAGTGGGAAGGGAAAGTCCCCAAACTGGACTTTTTGGTGGAAATCATTTAGGTAAGTAAAACTACTGCTTTGGCCCAGCATTTCTATTTCCTTCTGTACACTTTGCAGTCTAGACAGGTCCATTCAGCCAGGAAAATGTAAGGCTTCTTTCATTTAAAAAAAATAAATTAAGAAATCAAACCCCAGTGCTGCTTCAAAAGTAGTTTTGAAGCAAGAAGGGAAGATAAGACTAAAACTGCATTGCCTGTGACAGTGGGTACAGCTGTCTCTTCCCTGGGAAGACAAATCGGTGACAGGCGAGCACCCTCCTTTTGGCTCGGATGCTTGCAGCGTTCTTCCTCAGGCTGTCTTGGTCAAGTGAACCGGGCCGGTACATTTCGAAACTGCTTTCTCTGCCTGTGTCTTGAGACTGCAGGGTCAGAAAGGTGACTTGGGTGGTGGGTCTGAGACAGACCCAGGCTGTGGACTACTTAGCACGACACCTGTGCACTGTTTTGGGTGGCTCAGGAGTACCTCAAACAGCAGCTGTGCCTGTGTTGTAAAGCAGTAAATAGCAGTGCGTGCTGTAAACACACCAGAGTGGGCATCTTCTTCAAACACCCATGACTTGAACTCCAGTTGTTTACGGTCTGTGGGTATCTAACAGCTTTTCTAGGAGCTTATCAACCCTGATCGGTGGTGTGGAGTAAACAGGGTAGAAACGTGGATGTGCTGTGGGTGCATTATCTGCAGGCAGCTTCGCGGGGGATTTCAGATGTTTGAGAGTCAAATGGCTTAAGATGGGGAACAAAGCAATGATTTCCTTAAATAATTAAACCTTTTCTCTCATATACCCAGTATCCCAGATTTGTTATTGGAATATCAGCGGAATTTCTTAGTGAAGTTTTAAAAGTTTCTGCCTGCTGGTTTCAATGAAGTTAGATTTGGGATTCTGTCTGTGATTAACACCTTTATAACCCAGCAGCGAGGTGTAAGAAATGTTTGAAATGATGCTTTGAATAGTACTTTGGTGTCTGATGTTCTTGCACCTTGTTTAAAATAGTGGAACAATAGTTTTAAAAAACTATCAGTGTTTTTCAGTTTAGGTTATTGATCAAAAAGGAATCCTAATAATAACTGTTTGGAGAGGGAGAAGTAGATGGGCACCACCTAAAAATGTGAAGTGTTTTTGAGGAGTGAACTATTCCTGTTACAGGAAATCGTTTAATGTGTTTTGTATATATGTATGTATTTTTTGTTTTAACTTGTTGAAGGAAGCAGGTGTGTTAACTGCATCTTCGAGTTATTTCAGTTTGTATCTTTGTAGTAATGTTCAGACTGCACGTTTCCAGATGTGATTTTTTTTTTTTTTTGGGGGGGGATATTTCATAATCACATACTATTTTCTACTGATTAACTTATTAACCTATAACAATGTTTGATATTTTTGGTTTTTTTCATGGCTTGTACTAAACTTCATTTAATATAATTCAGAGATCTTATGATTTTGCAGGAGTTATTAACAAGGGAAATAGTTATTACTTTGCAGAGGGATGTTAATTCTGATTTGCAAAGGCAGAAAGCACAGTATGCAATGGTAGCAAGAAGTGATAGTGTAAAATGAATAACTTGGGGTTTTTGATCCGTCAAGAATCTCATTCAAAACAGAATTCTTTCAGTTGGTTAAATATTGTCCTGATTTTTATTCGGCCTTCAGGTGGAGTTTTCTGTTCCCGTTTTGAGCAGATGCTTATGATGTGGGGGAGAACAATGCAAATGAAAAGTTACAGGCTCTTTTGTTTAGTTTTAATAACTTTTTACATTGGTATTTTCCCATTTTTAATCGCTTCAGACATAAAGATAGTTTTGTCACTTTTGTTCTAAGTCCTGGCCTAGATTTTTTTTTTTTAATACTCTCTTCCTCAGGACTTTCTTCAGAATATTTGCCTTAACTCACATATTATCTGAGGTTCTTGAACTGTACCCAGGTAGTCTCAGGCAGAAGTTGAGATGTGCCTTCAACTTTTGCCCTGGTATCGTATTTGTGTATTGAGCCTTCTGTGTATAGGCGCACTGTGCTCTGTAAGCTATGACAATTTGAGACTGTTCTTTTTTTGTTAGGCACTTCGTCTAAGTAACGTTGCTATGGCAAAAACTACCACTGGTCAAATAGTAAATCTGCTGTCAAATGATGTGAACAAATTTGATCAGGTAAGACGTTATTACAGATCTTTCCAAGGGGCTGAAGAAATTGTGGGGTTTTGAGTTAAGAAGTTTTTGATTACGACTGGTGATTAAGTGTTTCTTACAAACATTTCTTCTAGTTGTTTCTTGACCATCATAGGAAAGATAAAAACACTCTTAAGATATGGGAGGAAATAATACTTATCCCCCCCTCTTAAACATTTTCCTGCTGTTGTCCTAAGCTCAGAGAAATGTTGGCCAATGAAGATAAAACAAAATGTGGTGCTTTGCATACTTTCTGGCGGTTAGACATCTCTGTGTACATTTAGGTCTCTGAATCTGATGCAGAATTATTACTGGATGCCTCAGTACTTGTCACAGGCAAAGATGCTTCCTCAACTTTGTGTTATTAGGGTTTAATTTTTTAGCTAAGACTAAAAGCTGATTTTTGTTTTTTAACTATTTGCCTAGGTAACAATTTTTTTGCACTTCTTGTGGGCTGGACCAATTCAGGCTGTAGCAGTAACAGTGCTTCTCTGGATGGAGATAGGCCCGTCATGTCTTGCAGGAATGGCCGTTCTGATAATTCTTCTTCCTGTCCAGACCTGCATTGGGAGGCTTTTTTCTTCCCTAAGGTAAGGTTGCACGTGTTGGGTTGTAGGTATTTTCTGTCCTGGGTTTTGAAATGTGCATACTGGAGGAGTACTGCTCTGAGACAGACTTCTGTCTGGTGAGGTTTTTTGAGTTTTCTTTTATCTTTGCCCATGTTTTTCATAGTCGCTAATGTGAGATTTCTTAATTCCTCTTTAGGCACTTGAAAGGGTCTGACTTCCAGACGTGCTGAAAACAGGTGCTACTCATTGGCTGTCCAGTATATTAAAAGAGCTGGGCTGCTCCTGCAGCTGCATTGCTGTAGATCTTGGCGTAGAATTGCGTAACTCCCCGAGCTTTGCCTTCCTGCGTTGATGCTTAGGGAGTGGTTACTACAAAGGCAATACTGTCAGTCCTTAAGCTTGACTTACTGGAACGATACAGGAACTGCAGCAGCAAACTCTGAAGGTTTTGTGTTCGAAGGTCTTGATCTCTCTCCTCCAGAACAAAGGTTGCAGAGAGGAAAAAGGGGAAGGAACTGAGAGAGAAAGGAAGAAAAACATTATGATGGTGGTTTTGATGGCAGCTGTGAGATTCCTAACTGTAAGGTTCTAGGCTGTGGAGATAAAAAAATGAGTTTGTAGTAATTTTCCTTTATCAGACAAATTTAATTTGTTTTTTCTGTGACTTCCTCCTAAAAAAAAAAAGACTTGCCTGAAGTAGGAATATTGAATTCTTTTCAATGTTGTCGTTTCTTAACTTTCCTTTTCTTGTGTAATTAATCATGTTCTACTTACATCATGAGTTTATAAATGACTTTTGCATCTACATGAGAATGTTTGCATGTTCCTTTACCGTATATACATATGCCTATTAGTGTTATGCATCTTTGTTGCGTTTGTGTTCAGGGTGAATGGTTCCTGCTAGCTCTTTAGATAAGTAAGACTTTCTTGAGTTACTCTGGTTTTCAGGTTGCCTTTTCAGACAAGTTTTCCAGGAGTATTAAGACTGGCATTGCCATTGCATGGCTAGGCATGGAAAAAGCACTAAGAATCACAAAATGACACCAACTTGTAGACTTCCTTCTGTTTGTAGACACTGGGATAGTCTTCAGATATTATGTTCACATGCTGTTTCTCAAATAATGAGCCACTGAGTTTCTCTTTCAAATTCTTAGCTTTTTTATGATAAAACATGGTTGTGGGACACCTTCCAATATATTTTTACATGTACATTTTCACTGCATGTCTAATATGCATGTGTAACTATCAAAATACTTCACTGATGGGTTTTTTGAGTCTTAATTTTTTGAGGTTTTGAGCTTTGAGTCAATAGTTAAAATACTTAGCACTTAACTAGTGCCTTATCCGTGGTGTTAAGCATTATTATCCCCATTTTACAGATGGGAAACTGAGGCACAAAGTGATTAAGGCACTTGTCCAGGGTCAGACAAGGTGACAAAAATCTCTTCTCCAAGGTGTGTATTTTAAAAATTAATCAGTGGCAATGTAATGTTGTTTGGGTTTTCCCCCCCATTCATCAACAGCCACTTGTTTGGATGCAGTGCAAGGGAAAGAATTTGTTAACCAGAAAAACATTACTGCTCGTCCTCCTGTGCACAGATCTTTGTGTTTGTGAATAGAAATGTGCAGTGAACAGAAGGAGTTAATGGAAAAAGTGAAATGGATTCCAGCTCCATAATGATGAGTGCGTTCACATGGCAATTAATGGGAATCTGCATGGATTTAAGGAAATCAGCCTGTGAAGAAGTAATTTAAGGATTAAAGCTTTTGCTAAAATCCAGGCACGCTCAGTGTGACAGCTAATTTGTGCTATTATTCAGCTTTCTGCTTGTGACCCAGTCTTGTAAACACATATATGCGCCCCGTTTGTGAGGCAGGCATTAGCTCCAGTGCTGTAGGAGTCTGCGGAAACAGACTCAGTGACTTACGGTGTGGTGTACACTGTATTAGCCACTATTGCTTTTACCTGCACAAGTACTAGAAGTACATACCCATGACCTAATATTAATTACTGGACTGAAGACCACTTTATGTATTTTTATTCACAAGAGCTCAGCCCTTCCAGCGCTTAGCCGTGCAACTGTAATACTCTCATTTAAAGCTCTGGGTTTTTTAAGACAAACTACATGAACCTGTTGTCAGACATGATTAAAACCCACCAAATGTACCTCCTGAAAGCAAAAAAGGAATTCTGCATCCTGCTTAATTTAGAATGTCAAGTCCCCGCTTTGATACTAATAACCAGACACTTGAAGAATTTTCAGGTCCTTTCCTGTTACGTTGTTAATGGTGCTATGTGGGCACGTGTTTCCCAGTCGTCCTGATCTGCATGTACTCTGAACTTAGTATTTTTACAACTGGGGGCATGTCTTCCTCTGCTGTAAATTGCTATCAGTGCGCTGGAAGTCTGTTTGCTTTAAACCATTATATACTATCTCTGAGTCTGTGGCTTCTGGTATGTGTGTACAAAATACGATTTTTGCAATGTAGAGGAAAGTGAGGAAAAAAAAAAAGAAAGAAAACCAAGGAAAAATACCCACCACCTCTTGATCATTTTAAAGCAATGTGAAAGAGGATGGTTACTGTGAAAACATTTCAGAGGGAAAAGTGAAAAATTGGTTTATGAGAACTATAGCCTTTTTGATTGACACCATTTAAAACAGAAACTTTGGTTAACTTCATTCTGAATTGCCTTCAGCGTTGTGTTAGCTGGAGTCCAGGCCTGGAAGTTAGGTCTGAAAGGTGGCTGATTCAAAAATTGCAGGTGAGAATTGTTCGCTGCTGTGGAGGCAGGATCAACACGTGCTAAATTTTGCCTTTTGCAGTGGTGGTGTGTGTATGGGGAAGAAAGGATGAGCTCTGACATTCTTTGAGGAATTGTTTTTCTTTTACTGTTCCTTTTTGAAAAAGAAAAAGAGGACTTAGCAAGGATAATCTCATTCCATGTCAGTATGGTTGGTTTAAGCTAAGCTGTCTTCCTCAGTCTTATTAAGAAGCCTTGAGTGTATGAGGGCCAAGTTAGTACATTTCTTTTGTCAGTTTTCTTGTATAAATGTTTCTTAATACCCTGCTTCAGCCAGCCCAACGCTTATGGAACACTGATGCTGAGAAGTTGCTTTGGTTTTGTTTTTGTGGTTTTTTTTTTTTTTAAATGACGAGCAGGCACCTGAAATCTTTCTACTTAAGTGCTTTAAACAGGACTGTTTCTTCCAGAGCATCAGAGAAATCTTACAGGGGGCAGGATGAGCTCACAACCCAACCAGCTACCCTTTCTAAAGAGCTTTCTTAAATTTTTCTTTCTTTTTAAATATGATCTCTAAGTCTTAACTTTCTTTGCTATATGCAAAAATAAGTAGCTTAAAAGTACATAGCAGGAAAAAGTATGCTTTATCAAAATAAGTCCTACCATAGCTCACTGTGTGCAAAGTATGTTTATCTACATGAATGAATTCAGAATTGTAATAGGCTTTATTAGCATGGTTTATGCATTCATTACATGGCTTCCAACTTTCAATGCTTTTTTCCTAATTAAAAATGTGACTTTAATTGTAGATATTTTTCAGGTTTGTTCATCAGTGCAAACATAATGTGGGACCAAAATAGATATAATTTACTTTAGTGTTAATTACAATTAATGCTTAAGTAATACGTGTTTAATAAGCAAAACCATCTCTAGATTAGCTCTCCTAAATTACAGCTCATGTACTGTTGCTGAGTGATCTTTGCCTCAACTAGAGTTAATTGTAAAAAGACACAAATGGAGGCCAGTTTCTATAACAATATCAAAAAAGCCTTATGATAAGGGTTGTTACTTTGGCTTATCACAGCCATTTTAAAAAGTAATTTTCTGAATTTTTTTTTTTTTAGTTCTAAATGTAATATTTGTAAATATTTTTGAGGTTTTTTTTTGTACACAGAAGTGTTGTTTAAGGAATACCATGTGTTTGCGCAAGCTGACGTAATTCTGAACACGGAATCAACTCGCAGTTCCCTGAGAATAGAGAATACCAGGAATACAAACATAGCGAGTCTGTCAGCTTTAAGACACTGTTTTAGGAAGACACTGTAATGCAATTACAATTATATGAATCCTCTTTACGAGTGAAAACAAGAGGTTCATTAATATGTTATATGATCGTAAATACACTGTTTTCAGAAACTGAGAATTTATACTTTGTGCTATTTACAGAAGCAAGACAGCTGCCTTAACAGACGTCAGGATAAGGACCATGAATGAAGTCATAAGTGGTATGAAGATTATAAAGATGTATGCGTGGGAAAAATCATTTGCGGAACTTGTGAATGGTTTAAGAAGGTAATCCTGGAAAGATACAGCTTGGTATATGATCTGTATCTGTTTCCATTTTCTTTATATGTCAATAAGCACATTATTTTGTGCTTTAGAGTGCAGTTTGCTTGAACATCTTTGGCTTTTTTGTTTTTAACTCTCCATAGCAAGCATGAAGGAATGACAATATATCCTAAGGGGACAGAAAAAGAAGAAAACCCCTTTGATATTTATAAATTCTGGGGTGGTGGGGTTTTTTTTATGTTTCCTTTTATGGTTGCGTTTAAAATCAGCAGCTAATAAACTGTAGCAGTTGTACCAGGGCAATTGCATCCTCACTGTTCTGTAAACTAATAGCAAGGAACCAATAAGCATACATTTCCCTTACGACATATATATGCAACCTGACTTTCTGTCCTAAATGATAGCATCTTCAGGTAGTACTCTGCTTCCCTTTCGGTGTTGCTCAAGCTGTCTGGGAAGGGTGTAGGGGAGAAGGATAGCAGTACAAAAATTCCCTAGTTGTTCAGCTGGCAAGGCCAGCTAAGTTTGGTATCCTGATATTTTATTTGGAATTCCCTCTTAAAGGAATTTTTTTTCCTTTACCTCCATGTGCAGGCTTGCATACTTGCTAATGTTCCCCGAGAAGTTTCTTCCCACGCACATAATCCTTCCCTCCTTCAGATTATAGGATCCTGTGCTGATGGAATGTTCTTGATTGATTGAAAGCTTTGCTCTCTTGTGTGGAGCCAGGGAGGATAGTTCTTTATTGAAAGCTTCCTCAATGGGTGTATTCACATCACTAAACTTCAGATTTCCAAGTTCAACACCTCATTAGGATTAGAGACTTCCTTTTTAATGATGGAGAGAAATAAGCCCTTCCAAAACACATCTTGAGCCCTCCCTCTTTCTTTTCTTTAACTGCGCTATGGAAAACTGTAGTTAAAAGTCTTAAATGCAGCCAGGTGATTTATTTCCCACTGTTTCCACAGTGGCCCTTGACAGTTGCTAAGACGACATCTGAACTCATCTGTTGCTCTTTTTTCCTGTGGCTGTCTCTATTAGTTTCCTTTTGTGTAACTCTGTGCCTTTAGACAGGGTAGTATATTATGTACAGCCTGTGGGTAGGCTGCAATTTATCTGATATTTATGGAGAGTAGCACAAAGAACTTGCTGATTATCCACAGATAGCGAGAGGAT